CTTCTTTGAGTGATTTTCTCTCTATAGCTTTGCTTTTACCATTTGTCCTAGAGTTCTCTCTGTCCTTTTTAAATTGTTCTTTCTTAATATAGCTTTTAGTGCTTGCTGTCATTGGTGGATTTGTTTCTTGGTATGGTCGCTCTCTTCATTCATTCTTTCTTTCTTTCTTTTTCTTTTTTTATTACTTTTTCATTTTTTATTTTTAATAGCTTTTAAAATTTTTTTACCATAATAACTTTATGTTATTTGTTTTTTCTTCTTTCTTTTCTTCTCCCTTTTCTTCTGAGCTGTGTGGCTGACAGGGTCTTGGTGCTCCAGCCGGCTGTCAAACGTGTGCCTCTGAGGTGGGAGAGCCGACTTTAGGACATTGGTCAAACACAGATCTCCAGGCTCAATGTAATGTCAAATGGCAAAAGCTCACCCAGAGATCTCCATCTCAACATAAGACCCAGCTCTGCTCAATGACTAGCAAGCTACAGTGCTGGGCACCCTATGCCAAATAACTAGCAAGACAGGAACACAACCCCACCCATTAGCAGAGAGGCTGCCTAAAATCATAATAAGGTAACAGATAACTCAAAACACACCACCAGAAAGACAATACCCAGCCTAATCCACCAGAACACAGGGACCAGTCCCCTCCACCGGGAGGCCTACACGACCCACTGAACCAAAATTCGTCACTGGGGGCAGACATCAAAAACAACAGGAACTACTAACCTGCAGCATGTGAAAAGGAGATGCCTAGCACAGTAAGTTAAGCAAAATGAGAAGATATACAAACACACAGCAGATGAAGGAGCATAGCAAAAACTTACCAGACCAAAAATATGGAGAGGAAATAGGCAGTCTACCTGAAAAAGAATTCAGAATAATGATACTAAAGCTGATCCAAAATCTTGGAAATAGAATGGAGAAAATATAAGTACTGTTTAAAAAGAACCCTGAATAACTAAAGAGCAAAAACACAAGAATGAACAACAGAATAAATGAAGCTAAAAATCCTAGAGAAGGAATCAATAGCACTATAACTGAGGCAGAAGAATGGATAAGTGACCTGGAAGATAAAGTAGTGGAAATAACTATCACAGAGCAAAATAAACAAAAAAGAATGAAAAGAATTGAGCACAGTCTCAGAGACCTCTAGGACAACATTAAATGCATCAACAGTGGAATTATAGGACAACATTAAATACATCAACAGTGGAATTATAGGGGTCCCAGAAGAAGAAGAGAAAAATAAACGGACTGATAAAATATTTGAAGAGATTATAGCTGAAAACTTGCCTAATATAGGAGAGGAAATAGTCAATCAAGTCCAGGAAGTGCAGAGAGTCACATACAGGATAAATCCAACGAGAAACACGCAAAGTCACATATCAATCAAACTACCAAAAATTAAATACAAAGAAAAAATATTAAAAGCAGTAAGGGAACAACAACAAATAAAAAAGAAGGAAATCCCCATAAGTTTCACAGCTGACCTTTCAGCAGAAATTCTGCAAGCCAGAAGGGAGTGGCACGACATATTTAAAGTGGTGAAAGGGAAAAACCTACAACCAAGATTACTTTACACAGCAAGGATCTCATTCAGATTCGATGGAGAAATTAAAATGCTTATAGACAAACAAAAGCTAAGAGAATTCAGAACCACAAAACCACCATTACAACAAATGATAAAGGAACTTCTCTAGGCAGGAAACACAAGAGAAGAAAAAGACCCACAATACCAAACCCAAAACAATTAAGAAAATGGTTATCAGAACATACATATCAACAACAACCATAAACGTAAATGGAATAAATGTTCCCACCAAAAGGCATAGACTGCTGAATGGATAAAAAAACAAGACCCATATATATGCTGTCTATAAGAGACCCAATTCAGACCTAGGGACACATACAGACTGAAAGTGAACAGATGGAAAAAGATATTCCATGCAAATGGAGATCAAAAGAAAGCTGGAGTAGCAATTCTCATATCAGACAAAATAGACTTGCAAATACAGACTATTACAGGAGACAAAGAAGGACACTACATAATGACCCAGGGATCAATCGAAGAAGAAGATACAACAGTTGTAAAAATTTATGCATCCAACATAAGAGCACATCAATACATAAAGCAAATGTTAACAGCTATAAAAGGGGAAATCAACAGCAACACAGTCATAGAAGGGGACTTTAACTCCCCATTTTCACCAATGGACAGATCATCCAAAATGAAACTAAATAAGGAAACACAAGCTTTAAATGATACATTAAACAAGATGAACTTCATTGATAATTATAAGACATTCCAACCAAAAACAACAGAATACACTTTCTTCTCAAGTCCTCATGGAACATTCTCCAGGATAGATCATATCTTGGGTCACAAGTCAAGCCTTGGTAAATATAAGGAAACTGAAATCATATCAAGTATCTTCCCGACCACAAGGCTATGAGACTAGATATCAATTACAGGAAATAATCTGTAAAAAATACAAACACATGGAGGCTAAACAATACACTATTAAATAACCAAGAGATAACTGAAGAAATCAAAGAGGAAAAGAAAAAATATCAAGAAACAAATGACAATGAAAACAAGATGACCCGAAAACTATGGGATACAGCAAAAGCAGTTCTAAGAGGGAAGTCTGTAGCAATACAAACCTACCTCACAAAACAATAAACATCTCAAATAAACAACCTAACCTTACACCTAGAGCAACTGGAGAAAGAAGAACAAAAAAACGCAAAAGTTAGCAGAAGGAAAGAAATCATAAAGATAAGATCAGAATAACTGAAAAAAAATATGAAGGAAACAATAGCAAAGATCAATAAAACTGAAAGCTGGTTCTTTGAGAAGATAAAGAAAATAGATAAACCATTAGCCAGACTCATCAAGAAAAAAAGGGAGAAGACTCAAATCAATAGAATTAGAAATGAAAAAGGAGAAGTAACAACTGACACTGCACAAATACAAAGGATCATGAGAGATTACTACAAGCCAAAAAAACGGACAACCTGAAAGAAATGGACAAATTCCTAGAAAACCACAACCTCCTGATACTGAACAAGGAAGAAACAGAATATATAAACAGACCAACCAGAAGAACTGAAATTGAGACTGTGATTAAGTCTTGCAAAAAAAAAAGCCCACGACCAGATGGCTTCACAGACGAATTCTATCCAACATTTAGAGAAGAGTTAACACCTATCCTTCTCAAACTTTTCCAAAATATAGCAGAGGGAGGAATACTTCCAAACTCATTCTACAAGGCCATGATCATCCTGATACCAAAACCAGACAAAGATATCACAAAGAAAACTACAGGCCAATATCACTGATGAACATAGATGCAAAACTCCTCAACAAAATACTAGCAAACAGAATCCAACAGCACATTAAAAGGATCATACACCATGATCAAGTGGAGGTTATCCCAGGAATGCAAAGATTCTTCAATATATACAAATCAAGCAATGTGATAAATCATATTAACAAATTGAAAGAGAAAAATGATAAAATCATCTCAATAGATGCAGAAAAAGCATTCAACAAACTTCAACACCGATTTATGATAAAAACCCTCCAGAATGTAGGCATAGAGGGAACTTACCTCAACACAATAAAGACCATATATGACAAACACAGAGCCAACATTGTTCTCAATGGTGAAAAACTGAAACCATTTCCACTAAGGTCAGGAACAAGACAAGGTTGCCCACTCTCACCACGATTATTCAACATAGTTTTGGAAGTTTTAGCCACAGCAATCAGAGAAGAAAAAGAAATACAAGGAATCCAAATTGGTAAAGAAGAAGTAAAGCTGTCACTGTTTGCAGATGACATGATACTATACATAGAGAATCCTAAAGATGCTACCAGAAAACTACTAGAGCTAATCACTGAATTTGGTAAAGTAGCAGGATACAAAATTAAAGAATAGAAATCTCTTGCATTCCTATACACTTATGATTAAGAATCTGAAAGAGAAATTAAGGAAACACTGCCATTTACCACTGCAACAGAAAGAATAAAATACCTGGGAATAAACCTACCTAAGGAGACAAAAGACCTATATGCAGAAAACTATAAGACACTGATGAAAGAAATTAAAGATGATACAATCAGATGGAGAGATATACCATGTTCTTGGATTGGAAGAATCAACATTGTGAGAATGACTATATGACCCAAAGCAATCTACAGATTCAATGCAATCAATATCAAACTACCAATATCATTTTTCACAGAACTAGAAATAATTTCACAATTTGTATTGAAACACAAAAGACCCCAAATAACAAAAGCAATCTTGAGAAAGAAGAATGGAGCTGGAGGAATCAGGCTCTCAGACTTCAGACTATACTACAAAGCTAGAGTGATAAAGACAGTACGGTACTGCCACAAAAACAGAAATATAGATCAATTGAAGAGGATAGAAAGCGCAAAGATAGAAGATGGCAGAAGAGTAAGATACAGAGATCACCTTCCTCCCCACAGACACATTGTAGTGGAATAACTGAGGACATGGAAAGGAGACGTGACCCATGAGCCCCCCCTTGGCAAACCGAGGGCTAGCAAATAAGCCAGAACCCCTTGGCAAACCGAGGGCTGGCACCCCTCGGCAAACCGAGGCCTAGAAAATAGGCCAGAACGCCTCAGCATACCGAAGGCTGGTGAATAAGCCAGGACTGCAGGCAGTCCTGGATACTTTGGGCACTGATCCATGAAATGACCTCAGTATAATCAGAACACAAGGAAATGACCTTGTGCTACTTTAGTATAATCAGAATGATGGGAACACAAGGAGATGTCCTTGTGCTGCTTATGAGCTCAAGGACGAAGCACGGCATGTCTTCAAGAAAGCCTATTGTTGCTTGTATAATCAATAAAAGCATATGTTGCTGCTTTGGCATTTGTGGAATGTTAAGAAAACAAGTCTTAAGATGTAAACACAGATAATGCTTAAATAAAAGTCACCACAGCAGGACAGACGGCGCTGTATTGCCTGAGCGAGCAGCAGCCCTCTACTGCTGTGTTTCTGCACAATTCATCTCATGTGATGAGCTTGCTTTCGGCCCTGTCATAAGAAAACTACATTTGGCGCCCGAACATGGACCTGAAGGTAAATAATCGCGTGATCGCAGGACCGAAGGGGAATTTGGTACGCTCAAGAGTAAGCGAAACCTTCAGGAACAGTAGAGTAATGGGGAATTCCCCGTCAGTAGAATGTAATTACATTCGACTCCTGAAACAATTATTACGGAGTTCAGGAGTGAAAGTGAAACCAGAATCTTTTGATGAACTGTTTGCGGAGATTCGTAAATATTGTTACTGATTTCAACCTACTAGTCATAACCAGTTGAGTTTGAAAGTTTGGAAACAGGTTATGTGAGCCTTAGGAAGAGTTCATCAGCATGGAGACCTTATATCTGTCCGTGTTTGGTCTCTTTGTAATTTAATTTCCCTTGCCCTGGAACCATTACAATCTGAAACTGAAAGTGAAAATGGGGCGCGTCCCCAGCCTCCGAATTCTGCTCCCGATCGCTCTGCTGTTTTTCGTACTCTGTTCTGTGAGTCTCCTATAGAGGACATTCCTCTGCCTCCTCCTCCTCTTATGTCTGAAAAAGGAGAGGATTTTTAGGGTTCCAGTGATGAAGGGGCTTTTTCTGATGATGATAAAGATCGGGAGCAAGTTAGCAAACCAAATGAGATGCCACCTTCTCAACAGAATGAGATCTCTGATATACTTTCAAAGTTAAAAAATTTGATAGTTAATTGGAAGAAAATAAAAACAATGCTACCACTCCTTTATATCAGGAGCCATGTCCTACTATTCCTTCAGCTCCTCCTTTAGAACTAGCAGCTTATCCTGTTGGAGCCTCTCATCAGTTTCGCTTTCCTCTAAAACCTGAATCTAATAAACTTTTATTGGAAGAAGAGATGAATAAGGAAGAAAAGCAATATTCTGAATCATTCTTTGCTTTCCCTATTGTTAGACAAGCTATGCCTGCTAATGATCAATTTCCAAATGGATATGTGAACGTTGAGTATAACTCTCATGATATAAAAATTTTAAAAATGCTAAAAGAAGCCATTAATGCATATGGGATGCATTCTAATTATGTTCAAGGTCTTTTGTCTAGGTATGCTTCCGAAAACATATTAATTCCTCAGGATGGGGAGGCGCTTGCCAAGACTGTTCTTGAACCTGGACAATATATGCAGTTTAAGACTTGGTGGAAAGAAGAAGGCACCTCCATTGACCTGGGGGCAAATGAAAAAGTTTACAGGCACTGCTGAAAATCTTGTTATTTCACAGGGTAAACACCTCACTAGCACCAATCTTTTTGTGGCTATGTTGGCAGTGCTGTCTGCACAGGTAATAAGCATATCAGCCAATGAGGTAAATTGTACTAACCATACATATTGGACTTATATTCCTAACCCTCCTCTTAATTTGGGGGTTACCTGGTGGGATGCCCCAATTCTTGTATATGTAAATGAGTCTGGATGGTTGCCTGGTCCTTTTGATGATAGAGGCCCTTTGAAGCCGGAAGAAGAAGGAAGGATAACAGAGAATTACACGGTGGGTGTTAGTGGACCTCCTATTTGTATGGGAAAGGGAGATCATTGCCTTAAAATGAATTATCAGGCATGGTTAAGTGTTGTCAAAAATGAAAGCAGATATCATGGGTTATATCTTTTGAGTGCTTATAGTTTTGAGAATTCTAATTCCACTCTTTATGAGAATGTTTCCACACCCTATTTGCCTCCATGCCATGTGCCTCTTGTACATCGATTATCAGTTTGGGTCCATTGGACTCGATGACAAGGAGAAATGGCTCGGGTTCTTTTTAATACTTCTGGGGGAAGCATCATTGATTGGAGCCCTTTTGACTCTGCCCGAGGAAGAAGGGGTCTGAAGAATTTACACTGGCATAGAGAGAATAACACCATTTATAGCAATACTATTAATGATACCATAGTATGGCATGCTAGAGGGTTTTCTCCTCCTGGTCCTCATTTAAATGGATATCCTATACAAAAGGATTTGTGGAAGCTTATGGCAGCTTTGGAAAAGATTAATGCTTGGGTAGGACATATGGATAACAAATCTGGAAATCATAGTTTGACTTTTCATAAAAATGTTACTCGGTATACTCGTAGTTGTGTAAAATTACCTTATATATTGTTAAAGGGACCAGCTGAATGGAATAAGACTCTAGGTATTATAATATGTAAAAATTGCTCTCTGTATACCTGTATTAACTCTAGTATATCTTTTAACATATCTACTAAAAGTCTGTGTATCTTACGAGTTCGGACAGGTTTTTGGCTTCCTGTCAATCTTGGAAGGGAATGGCAAGAATCTCTTCCTATGGCTGTTTTGCAATATTTAGCTGATGCATTAAAAAGAAGTAAAAGATTCATAGGAATGTTGATTGCAGCTGTCATGGGTATTATAGCCATAACAGCTACTGCTGCAGTAGCTGGAGTTGCTTTAGAACAATCCATTCAGACCGTTGATTATATAACTGATTGGCATAAAAATTCTGAAATGCTTTGGTCCTCTCAACGACAAATTGATTCGGAAATACATTCGGAAATAGCAGACTTACAACAAGCTGTGGTTATGTTGGGGGACCAACTTGTGAATTTGCAAAGACAAATGAAGCTACGTTGTGATTGGAATCAAAGTGCCTTTTGTGTCACTTCGGTTCCATATAATCAGTCTGCATTCCCCTGGGCAAAAATAAAAAAACATTTATTACATCACAAAAATCTGACAGAAGAAATTGTGAATTTACAAGGGGAAATTCAACAAACTTTTCAAAAGAAATTACAACGACTTAATTTGCAAGAAGTATGGACTGGAATTATTCAAGGATTTAATAATTTAAATCCTATGTCTAAATTACATGCTTTATTTGGTTCTACCGCAGGATTGTTAATGATCATTATAATAATAATCATATGTTTAATTGTAGTCTGACAACGAGTGAATGCCACCCGCCAGGCAACATCACAACAAGCTGCCGTGTTCTCCTTGATGCTGCACAAGCTGCAAAACAAAAAGGGGGAAATGTAGTGGAATAACTGAGGACATGGAAAGGAGACGTGACCCATGACCCCCCCCTCGGCAAACCAAGGCCTAGCGAATAAGCCAGAACCCCTTGGCAACCCGAGGGCTGGCACCACTCAGCAAACCATGGGCTAGCGAATAGGCCAGAACCCCTCGGCAAACTGAGGGCTGGTGAATAAGCCAGGACTGCAGGCAGTCCTGGATACTTTGGGCACTGATCCATGAAATGACCTCAGTATAATCAGAACACAAGGAAATGACCTTGTGCTACTTTAGTATAATCAGAATGATGGGAACACAAGGACATGTCCTTGTGCTGCTTATGAGCTCAAGGACGAAGCACAGCATGTCTTCAAGAAAGCCCATTGTTGCTGTATAATCAATAAAAGCATATGTTGCTGCTTTGGCACTTCTGGAATGTTAAGAAAACAAGTCTTAAGATGTAAACATAGATAATGCTTAAATAAAAGTTACCACAGCAGGACAGAGGGTGCTGTATTGCCTGAGTGAGCAGCAGCCCTCTACTGCTGTGCTTCTGCACAATTCATCTCGTGTGATGAGCTTGCTTTCCGCCCTGTCATAAGAAAACTACAATATACATCAGAAATACATCTACAGGTGGAATAACTCCTACACAACATCCACTGAACGCTGGCAGAAGACATCAGACCTCCCAAAAGGCAAGAAACTCCCCACGTACCTGGGTAGGGCAAAAGAAAAAAGAATAAACACAGACAAAAGAATAGGTATGGGACCTGCACCAGTGGGAGGGAGCTGTGAAGGAGGAAAGGTTTCCACACACA